GACCCAAGATTTCACATGTATATTTTTGTGATGTAACCCATAATTTTTTAGATATATTTTCTTGCAGTAAGTTCTTTTGAGTACAGATATAGAGGCAGTCAATACTGTATTAGTAAAACATTGTTTGCGTTAAATTTTCGTCTTAACCAAACAAAATGCATCTTATAATTTTCGGACGGAGGGGTATATTCTACATTGAAAAAACATTTTGCAAACGAATTGAAGCATGAAACAAGAGGAAAATGATTCCCCTGCTATACTTCATTTTGCCAAAGTTACTAATACCAGACCAAATGGTCATTAACAGTAAATAATGATGGGCTGCTTAAACAAATGGTTCATGTGGGAGCGAGTCACGCAGCTCACCTGCAGAGCGCACGCATACCCAGGCCCCCCTCCCACCCCTTCGGTCCACTGTAGAACGTCCAGCCCTCTTTTGGACCAGGGCCAAAGGCCGGTCAAACGAGCCGAGCCACCATTGCGGCATTGTCCCTCCCAGCCTTGTGACCGCATGAATGCCCTGCCCCCCTCCCCGCAACTTTTCTCCGCCACACCACTCCAAAACTACTTACCGCATTAAAAAGCTCGCAAAGACCCAATCATCCCGGAGGTACAACAACTCGAGAACAATGAAGGCCCATCAAGAGATACCAAGTAAAAGACGGTAGAAAACCGGCGAGGCCATGATGCGGTGTGCAGTATTTTGAGAGGAGGGCTTTGGAGAAAGCTCACCGTCCAGCCAGCGGATGGTGGTGCTCCTCATCTCATCTACTCCGGCGTGCCGTCTTAAAAACTGCCCAGTCCTCGCCGTCTTTTGACCGCTTTTTTTTGCCTTATCACCGGAGCGTCCTCCCTTCGCTTGCCGCGCCTATCATACCGTCACATCATGGGCTTTGGGCGGCAGCGGAGCAGATAGATAGACCATCACAAACATTTCTTGGTACGCCGGCCGAATTGAACTCGATGGGACTTGTCATTACACGGAACATTTCTCGCCACCGCTTCCGCTGCCTGAACATGAGCAAGCGAGGTGAGTGAACATGAGCACAGAGCCTCCGCACTCTACACTACGAGTGCTCCTACAAGCTAAGGGCTCCTTTGATTCACAGGGTTTGAGAAGTGTAGGAATAGGAAACATACAGGAACAGGATGTACTGTCAACTGAAATCCTACATCGGGTAGCAAAACAGAGGATTTTTTCCATGAAGTCCAACCTCATGCTTGTTTTCCTGTGAAAATGAACTAAGAAATTCCTATAGAATTGGTTCCTGAAGAATGCAATCCAGTGAATCAAACAGCACGTAAAGGAAAACTTCTAGAAAATTCCTATGCAAATCCTATGAATCAAAGGAGGCCTAAAAAATTGAATACTCTACTGAATCTACATTAATCAAAATAGCTGCACCACGCCCTAGTTCGTACTAGCTTTGCTATCGCAATGATATTCTAGTAGGAAGTTGCTCAGAAGTCTACGAAAACCAAGCCCAGCATACTGTAAGCACAAAGTTGAAAGGACAAAAATAATGGGCCAAGCAGAGCGAGACGACGCGGGCAGAGCCATGCCCATTTTCTACATAAAGAGAGACAGAGCCCCCAGCGCCACCTCAGCGGAGCGCCGGAGCCCCATGCCTCGCTCCCCCAATAACTTCACCCCATTACCGTCTCCCCCCTCCCTCCCTCCCTGCTCTGCGGTTGCATTTGTGGTGCTGCGCTCCTCCTCTACCTAACCAACCCCGACGTCACGGACTCCCACGGCTCCGGCTCCGGCCCCCAACCCCAAACCAAAACCCTATAAACCGTCTGGTCTGGCCGGAGGCCTCTCCATCCCCACCCGAAGGTCGCAGATTCCGGTGTGGCAATGGCGAGGGCCCCGACCATGGTCGTCCAGGACGACTACATCGACATGGACCTCTCCCCCTCCTCGCCCCAGTGCGCGCTCCTCGAGTTCGAGTTTCAGAGCGCTGGTGGAGGTGGAGGTGGCGGTGTGTCCAGGCGCAGGGAGGAGGCGGCCTACGCGTCGCCGGCGGACGAGTTGTTCTACAGGGGCAAGCTCCTGCCGCTGCACCTGCCCCCGCGGCTGCAGCTCGTGCAGAAGCTGCTGCAGGAGCAGCAGGTGAATGTGCCGGAGATCAAGCCGGCGGTGGCGGGGCCGGCGGCGCCTAGTGTGAGCGCAAGCGCGGATGTGGAGGACGGCGGCGACGGCAAGGTGGGCGCCAAGAGGTACTCTTGGTCCAAGAGGCTGAAGCTGATGAAGCGGTGGACGTCCAGGGAGTACATCAAGTCCCTCTTCCTCGCCAAGGCAGGCGACCTCGGCATCGTCAACGGCGGCGGCGGCGGGAGGGAGAGGGCGAGCCTGCTGGACCAAGACGAGCTCTGCAGCCACCGCAGGTCCTTCTCCGGCATCATCCGGCGGGTGCGCCTGGTGGTGGCGACGAAGGCGGCGGCGTCGGCGTCGGCTCCGCCGGGGACCTCGCCGCTCTGCTCCTCGTCCTCCGCCTCGTCCTCCTCCTCGTCGACGCCGTCCTGCGGCGACGCGGAGCGGTTCTTCCTCCGGCCGAGGGCGGCGGCGATGCCGGTGCTGAAGCGGAGCAGCAGCGCCGGGTCGGAGGAGGGGGCCATCCAGGGCGCCATTGCCCACTGCAAGAGGTCGCACCAGCAGCTGCTGCAGCAGGGTAGGAAGAGCGCCAGCGGCGTGGTGTTCTACTCCGTGTCCAACACCCCCAGGATCTCCACCTCCGTCGCCGTCGCCGCCGCCAACGAGTCCTCGCAAGAGAGGCAGGAGATGTGCAGGGGATGACTCCATGAGCTTGGATGTTTTCTTTCCTTTTCTTTCCCCTTCTTTCTCTCTGGTTTTGGGGGGAGACGTTTGTGAAGATGAGCAATGTGCCTGTGAATTACTTGTGAGGAATCAAGAACTTCTCTTTGATTTTTGCCTTGGTTGTCACTGTTCATGTTCATCTCTTCTTCATTCATGTGAATGGATCAAAAGCTCTGTTCTTCTACTAGATGTGTGACCAAGAGATCAAAAATGCTTCCACCATTGATTGATCATTGATCTTGACAGGTGTTGCTGGGATCGGGAAGCATCATCATATACACCATTGCTACACCACCTTGAGTGAACAAACTATTGTGCGTGGGGGCAGGGGTGAGCGTACGGCGCTGTGCCGATGAATGGTGTGCTAGGGTGGCACTGACTTGGTGGCTCAAAGTACACACTACTTGACCATGCCCTCTCCTGTGCAAAATATTCATTCCAATCCGGTGTTATAAATTGGGTCATGCATGCTTTCACCTACCTCGCACACATTGCTCGCTCCCTCCATGCCCCTGCCAACTTCTGCTCCACGCTGCATCTCGTTCGCCATGCCTTGCCTTGGCTTCAAAACAAAGGCTCTGTGAGTGTTATACACTAGTGCTCCATGGAAAATGCTTTGCTTTCCTTTGAACCTACACATCGCCGGCCAATGGAGTAGAAATCATCCAAAGCTTTCTGTTGTGGTTAACAAGGTTAGAAGATGACTGTCCTATCTGCACATCCAAAATGAATAGCCAAGCATAAACTAGTGCAAGTACTCTGTTATAAATTAAAAACTACAATGTGGCCATTGTAACTAGTAGCATTACTCATGAAATCATTTGAACTTTTGTGATTGTGTCCTACCAGAGATACTTAGCTTTATATGTTTGTTGGAAACTAATTATGTATCGTATCAGAGATACCTGGAACAGTTGGAAGGTGGTAGCGATGGTGCATAGGGCGCTGAGTCACTGACAAAACCACACGGCACAATGGGGTGGCCAAAAAGGCTCGCAGCCTTGGCTTGTGATGATGATGATTGCCAGTTCCCCTCCACCACGGCTTGTCCTCCTCCATCTTCTTCTGACCGGGACGTGTCATTGTCACGCAATGCAAGCACACCACCACCACAGGCCCGGCCCGCCCAGCCGAGCACGAGCATTGGGAGGGAGTGCGATGGGCCAGAGCCAGAGCCAGAGCCAGAGGGAGAGAAATCTCACAAAGCGCACGGGAGATTCCCCCTCCTTTCACCGTCCATCTCCCAGCGACAGTTAAAGCCAGCACAGGGTTTAGCAGCGGCATCTTGGAACCGCATGGGGCGAGCGAGCAAAACCCTAATGCGAGCAGAGGGAATCTTCCTCCCCGGTGGCCATGGGGGGAAAAGGGCTCGCCTTTCTGTTGCCCGGGCGGAGGGGAAAAGCTGGAGAGAGATTTCCAATCGCAACAAACCGCTGGAAAAGGCGCCTCCCCCTCCCTCCACCCACTTGCGCTTTGCTTTGGTTCGTGTGCGCGAGCCCATCCATGGCTACCCGGCCGTGCAGAATGATTGCTTCCTTCCCTCCTTCCTTCCTCCAGCGAGCGAGGGAGGGCGCGTACAGATACGGACCAAAGCGTGGAATCGGCATCCAGAAACAGTGGAGGAGACCCAGGTGCCGCTGCTGGTACTGTATTATCTCTCGGCCACCGGCGTATTTGCGAGCCTGAAAAAGGTGAAAATACCGTGGAGGTGGCACGGCAGGGGTGAAGCAGAGGAACAATGGCTAGCATCTGGTACAACATTGGTTATTTTCATTGCGTTTTTCATTGCGTTGCGGCAGGAGGACAGACAGGGGTGGCAGATGGTTTGACTGAGGGGTCAAAGTTATGGACCAAGATATGCTTGTTTATCATGCTGATGGCAGCAGTAGTACAGTGAAATGCAACAAACTGCAAGGCAGGACGGGACAGGACGGGACAGAGGCGGGCTTCAATGCCCCATGCAAACAGACTTACCTAATCTCATGTGACACTTAGGGCAGTAATTTTATATTATGTGCAGGCAGGCATGCATGCATTTTTTCTTCTCTACGGGTGGTGGTAGAAGACAGGGGATGAGACAAAACGGTATTAATACCTGTGGACAGCCAGAGAGGCGCCGTCTTCCTTCCTTCCCCACACACACCTGTTGCATTCCAACAAGCATCGGTACTGTACTACTACCACAGGTTAAACTTTTTTCTCTAACACAGGTACTGCTGCAGGTTAATCTTTTAGTGAGGGAGACATGCCAAAGCCATACCTTGGCCGGTTGCTGAGTCCTCAACAGTGTAGGTTTCCCACGAGTGACGTTGCCCCGAGTCCTGACCGATTCCTCCGGTTGCATACGCCAAGGGTTGCGTTCGGACAGGCACCGGCCATATGTCCCGTGTATGTATAATCTCATCCCACAATAGACAACTCCATGAGACCATGATGATTGCAGCAATGCACATACTCTCTGGTTTCTCAATCCAGAATGGACTTCACAGAACCTCAAAGTATTTTTTTGCCAATAATTATAGGAGTACCCCGCGTTATGTTCCGCCTTCGACAGAATCACAGAAACACGCATTTCCTTCCATATTACTCCGCCCTAAAAGAAATATAAGAGCGTTTAGATCATTAAAGTATGTCCGTAAGCAAATAAAAGAATGTAAAATGATCAATGAATAAAGGATCAAAAGCGCCTGCTTAAGATGCCTGCAACCTTCCTGAAATGTGGTACACAGTCTATCAGTGATAAGAAACCTAGATACCCAAAAATGCTTCGCTTTTTGCTGCTCAGAGTGTGTTTGTTCATTGGGAGCTCTAGAGACATGCATGCGAGGACAAGCAAGCTAAATACAACAGCAAAAGCTGAACCAGGTTGAAGATAAATGGTGCAGGCATGTTCAGGGCCCCCCATCATGTAGGCAGCTGCTGCAATGCTAGATAAGTTGGGCTACTTCTCTAGACACGACAAAATTGAATCAGGGCACCACTCTGAACAACAAGCAATTTGCATAGATGAGTGTGTCGACCATCTGATTCCATACTCCCAGCTTCAAAATATCACACAAGTGATGATCGTCTAGAAGGAAATGCAATTTTCTATATTAGCTAGTCTTATTGCACACACACACTGACACACACAGAGTTGAATCATGATTTAATGTATGACTCGCAGCCTGATGCCCACAAATACATGTTGTCATTGTTTTAAGCTGTTGATACATGTTGTTAATCGGTACATACAGCCGAAGAGGATGCTTGCTTGTTTTCTCACGAAAATGAAAAACACCTCAACATGCGAATAATTAGCAACAACAATCTGCATAATTCAATACAAAGTAGTAAGGAACTAATCATAAACTGAAGCAAATGTCATGCACTACAGCTGTGTGTTACCTTCGTTTTGTCATTAACACCAATATAGCCAGATAGCTTCTTATCTATAGCTAGCTCTCTTCCAGCTCACCAGAGTTGTATACTGTTACGCTTTTCATCTGGATATTGTTGACAAGAACGAATTGAACGATAATAAGCACAGGATACCGTGTTCCAAACAAAATGGAGAGATAAATTTAAATTCTTAAGGGATACTTTGTCAAGTTGAATAAAGGTTGATAGGCCTTTAAAAGATTCTGATAGCTCACTCAAACTATAAGATATAAAAATTAACCTATCTATTGCGGAGTTCAGTCTTTCTTCAGGACAACCATAACAAATTTGCAGTTTTCACAAATTTGCATCTCTGTTATCTGAACTAGTCCATGTTACCTGATTTTGGATGTTGCAGACAGAGAAGGCTTCCGAAGTCTCTTGTAGAGCATTAGCAGCTGTATTACATTCCCTTAGAGCACAAGGGGACACGAATTGTTATGGCATACTTGTGCCTGGAATAAAATTTGGACAGATCTCGCCATAAGAATTTCTACAGGTATAAGACAGGGGATAAGACAAAACAGGATTAATACCTGTGGACGAAGAGGCGCCATCTTCCCCACACCTGTCGAATTCCAACATCAGCACTACAGGTTAATATTTTTCCTCGCACAAGTAGAGGTTAACCTTAGTGGGAGAGTCAGAGAGACAAGGCTTTGGCCGGTTGCTGAACAGTGCTGGTTTCCCATGAGTAGCATTGCCTGATTCCTGACTCCTCTGGTTGCATTCAGACAAGCACCGGCCATATGTCACGTGTACAATTTCACAATGCACAGCTCAATGATTGCAGCAATGCACATACTCTCTGGTTTCCAGATCCAGAATTGATTCCACAGAACCATAGGTATTTTGAAAATAAATAAACCATGGGAGTAACACACGTTATGTTTCGCCTTCGACAGAAACAAACATATTTTTCAAGAACACATGTAACAAATATTAAGCAAAATGCACTCAAATATGGTATCATGAACTACGAAAGGGATCAAAAGCACCTGCTTAGGATGCCTGCAACTTTCCTGGGATATGGTACATAGTCTATCACTGATAAGAAACCTAGATGCCCAAAAATGCTTCGCTTTTTCCTGCTCAGAGCGTGTTTGCTCAATGGAACTCAAGAGACATGCACATGAGCACAAGCAAGCTAAATACAAGAGCAAAAGTTGAACTAGATTGAAGTGTAGGTTTTGCCTGAGTCCTGACTCCTCCGTCTGCAAACGCCAAGAGTTGCATTCAGACAAGGCACCGGCCATATTCACGATGGACAGCTCCATGATTGCAGCAATGCACATACTCTCTGGTTTCTCAATCCAGAACGGATTTCACAGAACCTTGAGTGTATTTTGCCAATAATTATAGGAGTACCACACGTTTTGGTTTCACCTTTGACAGACACACAAATGTTTTCCTATAATATATGGCACTAATGGTAAGCAAGATTTACTCAAATGTAAAATCAAGAACTAAGAAAGGGATCAAAAGCACCTGCTTAAGATGCCTGTAGCCTTCCTGCAATGTGGTACATAGTCTACCTGCTCAGTGATAAGAAACCTAGATACCCAAAAAAATGCTTCACTTTTTGCTGCTCAGAGTGTGTTTGTTCATTGGAGCTCAAGAGGCATCCATGTGAGGACAAGCAAGCTAAATACAACAGCAAAAGTTGAACCAGATTGAAGATAAACGGTACATGCATGTTCAGAGGAAGGGGGGGGGGGGGCATCATGTAGGCAGCTGCTGCAATGCTAGACAAGTTGGAATACTTCTCTGGACACGAGAAAACATAATCAGGGCACCATTCTGAATAACAAGCAATTTGCACAATGAGTTTGTCTACCACCAGATTGCATACTCCCAGCTTCAAAGATCATACGAGTGATGATCATTTAGCAGGAAATGCAATTTTCTCTCTTAGCTAGTCTTATTGCACACACAGAGTTGAATCATGATCAAATGTATTACTCACTCGCAGCTTGATGCCCAGAAATACCTTGAACATTGTACAATGAAACATTCAGTGATTATACTGTGATTGTTTTAACCTGTTGATACATGTTGTCCATTGGTACATGAAGCTGAAGATGGTGCCTGTTTGTTTTCTCACGAAAATGAAAAACAACTTACATGTGCCTAATTTGCATAAATGCATATACTACTCAAAAGAAAAATTCACTACTCCCTCTGTATCAAAATATAAGACGTTTTTCGATACTCTTTTTTGATACAAAGGGAGTATAAAAATACGTCTTGTATTTTGATACAGAGGGAGCACCAGGCAATATCAACGACCGACAGGACCACACTAAAGGCTCGTTGGGAGGCTTAGCCTGATGACAATCTGCATAGATTAATACAATGTTAATAAAAAAATCAATCACAAACTGAAGCAAATGTCATGGGCAATACAGTTGTGTGTTACCTTTGTTTTGTCATTAACACCAATATAGTCAGATAGCTTCTTATCCATAGCTAGCTCTTTTCCAGCCCACCAAAGTTGTATGCTGTCACGCTTTTCATCTGGATATTGTTTACAAGAACAAATTAAATACTAAGAAGAGGATATCCCGTGTTCCAGAGAAAATGGAGAAATGAATTTAAACTCTAAAGGAAACTTTGTCAAGTTTAATAAAGGTATACTGTATCTACATTACAGTTTTTAAGAGATTCAGAGAGCTCACTGAGACCAGGAAATATACAGAACAACCTATGTATTGTGGAATTCAGTCTTTCTCCAGGAATACTGTATCTACATTACAGTTTTCGCAAATTTGCATCTCTGGTATCTAAACTCATTCGCGTTACCTGATTTTGGATGTTGCGGACATAAGGCCTCCGAAGTGTCTGGTAGAGCATTAGCAGCTGTCTTTTCAATATTCTTGATATGTTCCCTTAGAGCACGAGGGGACACAAATTTGTTATGACGTACTTGTACCTGGAATAAGATTCAGATAGATCTCAACTCTTCAACCAAAACATTCCAGCAAGCACTATCGTGATATATCAACTCTTAAAGAATTTTGGTTGATTGATAATAAGGCAAGGGCTAATTTAGCTTTCATTTCCCAAACTGGAAACACTGACCAAGAACCAAACAAATTACATGGGCATGTTCAGAAACAATTATTACACGATGTAGCTGAGAGGGAAGTCAAACCAATGTACAAGACTTCTAAAACAAGAAAGTTTTGGCTACTAAATAAGCAAACGCAGAAACGCGCTAAGAAACTCTAGGCCAATCCAGCGGCCTTTATGTAGCAACTGTCGATGGTCTGTGACATAGCAGAAGCTAGCTTTTCATCATCTCCATTTTCTTGAATACTAAATAAAAGTTCTGAAATGATCGTTATTCAGACCCAAAAAATCAATGGTTTCGCTTGTTAATGTAACAAATGTCTGCAAGCCCTTGAAACTGCATGCCAAAGCGCCATAGACAGTAGCGGCACCGGTTCATTCACAAGTATACACACATGACACTTCTCATACACTAAGCTCCATTAAAACAAACCATGTTTCGGTGTCAACAAAATTTTTACAAAAAATAAAAGAATTCATTAATTCTTATTGGCTGGTGCAACCTCAGCTTATCATCCTTTTCAGTAAATTCAGTACAACGTACATGAATGATGCAGCAGCAGCATAAGTTAGTTCATCACACCAGTAGGCAGGGGTAGTACAAGTAACAAAATCAC